AAGGGTATGATGGTGCTAGTAATATGAGAGGAGAATGGAATGGATTACAAGCATTATTCTTGAGTGATTGCCCTTATGCATATTATGTTCATTGTTTTGCTCATCGATTACAACTTGCCTTGGTTGCTGCATCAAGAAAAGCTATTCCAATTCATCAATTTTTTTCAAAATTGACTTTTTTTGTGAATATTGTTTGTCCTTCTAGTAAGCGTCATGATGAGTTACAAGTTGTCAAGTTAGATTAAATTGCATATTTGTTAGAGATTGATGAGCTTGAAACTGGTAAAGGGGCAAATCAAGTTGGTACTTTGAAATGAGCTGGGGATACCCGTTGGAGCTCCCATTTCTCTTCTATTTGTAGCTTGATAAATATGTATTGTGAAACTTGTTGTATTATAGAAAAAATTATTATTGATGGGTTTACTTATTCTCAACGTGGGGATGTTGATAATGCTTACAAAAACTTGACCTCATTTGAGTTTATATTGATCTTGCACTTGATGAGAGAAATTATGGGAATAACAGATGTTCTTTGTCATTAAGCTTTGCAACAACCCCAGGATATAGTTAAGGCTATGCATTTAGTTCGTTTTAGAAAGGAACTTATTCAAAACTTGAGAAAAAAAGGTTGGGATAAGTTATTAAAAAATGTGACATCTTTTTGTGAAAAATATGATATTGAGATTCCTCAATTAGTGCTTCTTATATATCAAGGCAAAGATGTTTTCGTCACCAAAAAGATAAAATATTCTTTGTTACAATTGATAAGCAATTACAAGAGTTGAATTGTAGATTTAATGACCAAGCAATGAAGTTATTAACTGTAAGCTCAACATTGGTTCCTAAGGATGCTTATAAAGTTTTTAATATTGAAAACATTTGCACTCTTGTAGATAAATATTATCCCATGGATTTCAATGAGTAGGAAAAGATTAATTTTTATTTTCAACTTCAGCATTTCATTGTTGATGCTCGTCAAGATTCAAATTTGAAGAATTTATCAACAATGCAAGAGTTATGTACATGTTTGACAACAGAAAAGTCAGAAGTTTTCTACTTGATTGATAAATTACTCCGCCTTATCATGACTCTTCTAGTTTCTACAACTATAATGGAAAACTCTTTTTTTGCAATGAAAATAATCAATACCAGATTGAGAAATAAGATGGAAGCTGACCTTTTAGTAGATAGTATGGTAGTCTATATTGAAAGGGATATTGCAAGAAGCCACCCTCCGCCTCCCCCTCAAAGACCTCCACGACCTCCACGACTCCTCCCGCCTTCGCAAGTTCCCCCTCTCCCACCCCTTAGGCCGTCCCCACGGCAAGATCCACCTCAAACTCGCTGTTGGCGTTGTTGCTAGAGCCCTCGGCGGCCTCGCTCTCGAAGAGGGACTCAAATACGAAGAGGACATAATCACCAAGAGGGTCGAGAACGAGTAGATATTGAGTTTGAGGTTTGCAATTCTAAGGCTGTTTCGTGCACGTAGAGGGCCAGGAGGACAGCTTCGAAGCCGACTTGGGGCTTTCGGTCGACGACGCGGGAAAGGTTGACACCACCGATGACGGGGAGGATGGAAACCATTTTATGTCGGACATGGTGGATCCGACGTAAATTTTACGTCTCCTGCATTTACGTCGAACTTATTTCAGACGTAAGAACCTCAAAATAACCGACGTAAAATACCTCTTGTACACTAGTGAGTTCTGACGCAATTATTGAAGATTTCAAGTCATTGAAAGAGCACAAAACAATACTTTGACTAAAGGTAACTTTTGCTTGTTTATATATATATATATATATATATATATATATATTACTTTGATGATAAACTTTATGCTAGACTTGAATTTAAAATTTTAGATGTATAAAAAACTGTCATGTATTTAATTTATGCAGTTGCTCCTGAATTTTAGTCCACCTATAAATAATTATTGGCTTTAGGTGATTCTTTTTACTTGACTTGCATTGCATAATTTTGGATATGTCATATACAAGTGATACTATACAATATAAGTAACTTGGACTATGTTATTATACTAGTTTGAATATAGTAAGAGACAAATGTACAATTTATCTTGAAATTTACTTCAACTACTTTGACTCACTTCATACCAGGTAATCTTTGATATATAATGATAGTCTTTTATAATTATTTTATGAAATGACTACTAAAAAATAGTTATTTTTCTTAAATTTCATTATCACACATCTTTGTTTTAAGTAGAGGAAATAATGAATTCTATTTTTTCTTTTTTTAATTAAAAATAATAATTTATGTCTAGAAAAAATTAATTTAACACCCCAAGTTTTTTCTCTAAGTTCCACTTAATATAAGGTAACATAATATCAATAGCATATTTTTAATTACAATTACGATGTTGATTTAGGGAAAAAACTGGATATATTTATTTTAACATTTTCCATAATTTTTTAATTCATTCAATCATTATTTCTCATATTTATTTTTTAAAATATAATTTAGTTTAAATATTATTAATTCAAACATCTAAAGAATATTGATAGTAAATTTTTAAAAATATTTTAATTAAAAATATAATAAAATAATTTTATTCTATTAAGTTGTCAGATAAAAATTTGTAAAATATATAATTAAATTTCTGGTAAGTTTCTATATATAGAAGAGATGAGATGACATGATAAGGTAACCAGTAGGAAGCAGTTGAGCATGGCGGTGGTTCGGTTGTGTCTGCGGCTCCCTCTTCCGCACAAACTGTTGCGTCTGCTCTCACTTGCCTCTGCTTCCTCCTCCGCAACTGTAACCCTCTCACCTCTCTCTCATCGCATTTAATTCTTCACATACATATTTGCACTTGAACCTGCCTCATGCCTCCCACCTGTTCGATGCAATGTCACCTCTCATTAATACCAACTTCTATTGCTGGGATCACATTTCTTATGTTTTTTCTCTAATAAATTTACGCACATTTTTTCGATTTCTTTATTTTTAATTGAGAAACACGAATTTAGAAAATAACTTAATCATTAGTTTCTGCATGAATTTTGGTCAATGATAATATCTCTTCATTTTTTTAAAGCTGTGTTTACAGTAAGGAGAAAAAAATACATAATCTAAAACGGACAATTTCTAATCTAAAACGGACAATATCTCATCATTGTGGAAGATATTTGTGTAATAACCTTATAAAAATAACTTTCATAAAATATCCCCTCAGACAAATATCACAAAATAACCCATTAGTGATATCAGAGCCGCAGGTCGGATTCGGTGACAATCAATAACCTTTATAAAAACTCATAACATATAATGTGCTATATAAAGACAGATTCCGCTGCATGAAAAGTTAGGTCCCTTGTTTGAGGGGAGGATTGTTGGGATACAAACAAGTCCCACATTGATAAAATAAAACAAAAAATAACAACTTATATAACACAAACATACTTCAATGATTGAGAGGTCTTTTGGGTGATGACCAAAAGCAAAACCGTGGGGACTAAGGCTCAAAATGGACAATATCTCATCATTATGGAGTATGTTTGTGTAATAACCTTATAAAAACAACCCTCATAAAATATTCCCTAGAAAAATATACCAAAATAAACCCAACATAATTAGACTCACCTAACAAGAAGAGAATTCATGTCCACGTATAGTCATATATACCCACCGTTCTTATATTTTCATCTATTTCGTGATGAATAACCTTATCCCAAGTAATGCGACATAAAGGTTATTTGAATTTTATTATAATAATTACAACATACAAGTAATGATCATTATATGACTAATTAATCATGTTTAAATGTTGCCAATAGAGGTTTTTGCATCTTGCAAAGTTCCGAGTACATCTCACCCGGTAAATATAACGATGCGTTTCTCCTATTTATATTATTATGTTTAAATATATTTTTAATTTTTAGGATGAGTAAATTTTGATTTAATCTCTCTATAAATTTTGTTTTCTTTTGTGTTTAAAGTTTAAAATTATTACTTTTGGACTTACTGTTATTTAACACTTGTTTATTAATTATGTGTTGAAAATATCACTTTCTGTTTGTTTTTGTTGAGTATAAGATAAAGTAACGATTTTAGGTGAAATTTACTAGTATTCTAGTAATATATTAACATATGACACCTCTAAAAATATTCTTTATATATGTAAAAATTACTCAATAATAACATGATTCAAACTTAAAATTTTGTATACACTATTCCACTTTTCATTACTAAGTCATTTTTAGTGATTCCTCTAAAAATATTTTAAGATGCCTAAAATAAATATTTTTTATTTTAAACATTAAGAACTAAAATAGTAATTTCAAATTTTGAAACCAAAATAAAAATTAATTATGTTACAAGAACTAAAACCAAAAATTTATGAGGCTTCACATATTTAAGTCAATACTATATGATTAAGACTCGGCATTGCATGACAAGTGCATCTCTTTCAAAAATAACGGATAAACAAATTATATAAGGTAATTTTTAAAAAAATTAAATTATAGTATATATCTATTTATTATTTAATAATTGACATTTAAATAAATTAAAATGAAATTAAAAAGAAATAAAAAATATATAAAAGAATGAAATATACAATGGGATAGAAACTTTTGTACAAGAACTCGTGCAAATGGCGATACTCGTGAAAATAAAAATGAAACTGAAAATGTGAAATATTAAAAATATAGCATAAGCACTCAAACAAGTTTTTGGTAGAAATGCCCCGAGTCTCAAATGTTTTCTGAAGATTCTCGATGCACCAAGATCTAGTTTTATTCATTGCAAATTTTAATTTGTTGAAGATGAATAAACAATTGCCATAACGTAAAACAATTTTAACTGTATTCACTGAAAAGATTCAGGAGATCAGCATAAAAGTCAGTACTCTGTTTTGGTATAAAACATCTAAAGCAACACTAAACCTGATGGGAATGTTGTTTGCTGTTTAAATATTCAAACAAAACGCTTTGCTTCATATGGAAAACAGCATATCTTTAGGAAGAAAAGGGGTATGTTGCTTGCAAGGTGCAGATGAATTGAATAGATTATTTAACATGTAAGATATGAGCATTGTACTATATTACAACTTTCCTTAGTGGTTTAACTTTTCCACCTCTCAAAGTGCTTTACCCAGTCATCAGTCCCCTGTGAAAGAGGCTATTCTCTATAGTAATGGAAGTTTATTAGTCTAAAAAATGGTATGAAAATAGTCACAAATGAATTAATCTCAGCAGTTTTAAGAGTTTCTCGAACTTAGAAGACTTTGTTGTTGATGCTTCATTAATCATCTGAAGGCTTATGGTCACCAGAAAACTGTACAAGAGCCACTGAAGGAAAGTGGTCAGGAATGATGGAATATGAGAGCTTGTTTGTTGTGCTATGCAACTTGAGGATGTCAGTTTAGAAGTGAGATCCAGAAGAAGCAAATTAAATATGGAATTAAACAATCTTGCCAACTCTTCTTTAGCCCCCTTGGTCATCTCCATGACAAAAACTGAAATTCTGGGACATGCATAAATGTTTTACAATTTGCAGTGAAGATTTAGAGAAAGGTAACATTAAGATGGGACTCAGATATCGTTTTGCGAAAAAGTACCATTACTGATGACAGTACAATGACAAGATGTTCAGGCAATGCCAGGAAAATTTTCATAATGGGCTGTCCAATTTAATTGACCAACAACTTATGGCAAGTCATAAAATGTGTTGCTCATGTACAACAAACATCGGAGAAATGCGTGGAAATCTTATTTAGTATGGTCAAAAAATTTGTATTAATTAGAAAATATAGAAAGGACATTCAACAAAAAGAATATGCAAGTGCTTTACTAGTATTTATCTATAACTATTATGTTACAAAAAGAATGCCTATGAAGAATTGGTAAAGCAAAATCAAAAGGAAAAAATGGTTTGTTTATAAAAATTGTAACTTTGAAGATATTAGTGAATTCATACCAAAGTTTTCGGAAGATCACACCCTAAACCTTCACCATGTGTGTCTCGGCAATTGAAGAATTCAGGTCTTCTCGAGATTGAGATCTCCTACTCTGCAGACGCATCTTGCTTCTGTGGGGTGACCAGAACGACCCTATACTACTGTTGTCAAACTGCATCTGCCCTAAATTGTTTGACGAATAACTATGCGAGACACTAGTAGCTGATGGATAAAAGGAGGATTCCATCAGCTGGATGTTACCACTGCTATCACCAAGACCATGCCCCAGGCTAAATGGTCTATCCTGTGAACCTGCAACTGTTGGGCTGAGTGGGGTCTTTATTTTTCCATCTCCTGCAATACAATTGGGTATAATGACTTCAAAGGTCAATTAAAAAGAAATGTTGCCAACACAGTAAACAGACTGCACAAAGACATTCAAAAAATCCAAAAAGAGCAACTCAGCAATAATTTATAAAGAAACTGAAACCAAGCATATTTGGGGTGATCAACAGTTGTGTTCAGTTGGATTAGGGTTCATAAGACCCAATCAATAACTGAACCATTTGATCTTTTGGCCCATCTTTGACTGCAGTGTTCATCCGATTTAGTGGGTTACAGGTTGGATGGGAGGGTTGAGATTTTAGGCCTCAATTTGGGCCAGTCCTAGGTTTAAGAAATGCCATCACCATCAAGCTCACAAACAAAAATAACCAGTACCTGCAAGCATGTGCTGAGTGCCAGAAGAGATTGACAAAAAAAATGATCCAATGTATTCAAAAATAAGAATTGATGGAGAAAGGTAGCTGGGGAGGAAAGATGAATAAAAAATTCAGAGGTGAGAAGAGATGAACAAGGGGAGAATGTTCTACACACTGGCATTGCACTGATGAAATTTTAATGTAAAATTTCAAAAGTGAAAGTAAAAAGTAAAATCCAAGGGAAAAGAAAGAAGCAGTATTGATTCTTGAGTGAAGTGACTCTGATTTAAATCTATAATCTGATGACAAAAGCATGGGTGTACAGCACTATTGGCATACGCAGCCATATAAATGCTAGGTTCATAATACACATTCTGGTCAGATTCGGTTATAAACAAAATTTATTGGAGGAAATCAAATCCAATAATTAGAGAGGGGGTGTGTGCAAATAGAGTATTGTTTAGGAGGTTCTTGGTTCCTTGAACTACCAAGGCAACACTGTTCTTTGTTTTTATCCATCATCGATAAATAAATATTGTTCTTCCTTCTTTTCTTGTTTTCTTGGTTCGGATTCTATCAAATTGGCAACAAAGCTCTCATTCAGGGCATTGTGGGTGCTGTAACACAGTTTATGTCGAACATGAGGATAGAAGCAAGGTTGGAATCATTGAAGCATATAGCTGCAGGTTGGAAACACGATTTACCCAACATGAATCACCCAACATGAATCACGTCTCATTAAGTTAAAGAAATCAGTGAGAGATTAGCAAAAGCTGTGGAGGATAATGGGTCAAAAAAAAAAAAAAAAAAAAAGGCAATGCTTCAAACATGGTGATCATGATGGAGTCTAAAGGGGAGGTGGACCTAGAAATCAGAAGTGGGAACATGTGGCGAAAGTTAGAAATTCCTGTTTTTGAAGGGAATGATGCATTTGGATGGGTGTCCAAATTGGAGAGGTATTTTAGGATGCGTGGGGTGATGGATGAGGAGAAGATGGAAGCTGTTATGGTGGTCCTTGACAGGGATGCTTTGGGGTGGTTCCAATGGTGAGAGACTTGAAACCTCAATCCAACATGTGAAGGATTTGAAGAAGCCCTTGTTAACACCGACACAGTTTGAGAAGTATGTAGGAAGTGTGAAGAGGTTAGACGAGCAGTATTTGATGGGAATCTTCATTAATGGGCTAAAGGGAGAGATTGCTGCTGAATTAAGGTTATATGAACCAAAGACCTTGTCAGAAGCAATGGATAAGGAAAGGAGAATTGAAGGAAAAAATATGGCAATAACTAAAGGTGTTGGAAGTCAAGGGGGAAATGTGAATAATCCTGCCCGCACATACATAAAGACAAGGGTCATACGAGAATGGTAACCAACAATGATGATATCTGCAAAGGGAAGCAATTTTGTTTCCCAAGCCTCTATTAATAACGAGAGCAACAACAATAATGCAAAAGGGGAGAAGTACCTACCAAGTAGAGTTGCAAGAAAAGATGAGAAAAGGAGACTTTTCGTTACGGAGAAATTTGGGCCTAACCTAAATGCAAAAACAAAAAACTTAATGTGATGTTCCTTGAAGATATAGAAGATGAAGATCAAGCTAGAAACTTAAATTTTCATGAGGAGAGGGCTAGGGAGCCACAACTGTCCTCGCATAGCATCAAGGGATATACCACAAAGAAATCTCTCAAGTTATGGGGCTTGCTAAAGGGTTGTCAAGTGGTAGTTTGGATTGACTGTGGTGCCACACACAATTTTATATCAATAGAGATGGTGGATAGACTAAAATTACCAACCACTGAAACACCTCCATATCTTTAGAAGTGGGGGATGGGTGTAAGATTAGTTGTCGGGGTAAACACAAATCATTTTGCTCACAAATTCAGGAATTTTGTGTTCAACAAGATATCTACCCATTTGAATTAGGGGGAGTAGATATGGTATTGGGGTTAGAGTGGTTGGCAACCTTGGGCAAAATTAAGGCCAATTTTGGTGATCCAACCATGAAGTTGAGAGTGCCAAGGGAGACCAAAGTGTTGAAGGTAGATCCAGAATTAATCAAGGCATCAGGTCCTCTTAAGCTCATCCAAGGGGATGAATTTTAGTTCAACACAAACGACAATGCTTCTACTAAGATGTCACCCTTTCGTGCCTCGTACAATATAGATCCCCCATTGTTGTTGAATAGGACAACAATTCCTTCTAAACTTAGGGAGATTAATCAATTAAGAGAGCAAATGGATGACTTGTTTAGGGATTTGCAAGCCACATTATTGAAGGCTCAAGATCAAATGCGATGATATGCAAATAGCCATAGAAGAGGTTGATTGGATATTCTTAAAATTACAGCCCTACAAGGTGCATTTTCTAGCCAAGGCTATTGAAAAGTTGAGACCAAGATTTTGTGGTCCCTATAAGGTGCTACAGAAAGTAGGAGAAATTGCTTACAAGTTGGAACTCCCAAATGACAACAAAATTCATCCAATATTCGATGTTTCTTTATTAAACAAGGCAGTGGAACCCCATCAGCAACCACAACCTCTACCAACTACTTTGACAGAGGATCATAAGCTCCAACTACATCTAGAAGTTGTTTTAGCTTCAAGATTAAATGACAGTGAGAATTTGGAGGTCCTCCTTAAGAGGCAACATATTTCAGATTGTGCAAACAATTGGGAACTAGCAATTGAGATTCAACTTGCCTTTCCTCAATTCCACCTTGAGGACAAGGTGCAATTTGAAAGCAGGGGTATTGATAGGGTGCGAGCCCCTATTAGGCAATTCTCCAACAGGAGGAAGATGATAATTATCTTTTTAGTTATTTTGGCAATCATTATCATTCTTCATGTTATAAGGATATTATTATCTTTATCTATTGTAATTAGGAGGTTATTATCTTTATCTTTTAGGAGATTTACCTTTATGTTTTCAGGATTTAATTAGGATTAGAAAAGGGAGACAAAAACTATATATAAGAATAAATAATTAGAGAGGCGGTGTGAAAATAATGAGTATTGTTTAGGAGGTTCCTGATTCCTCAAACTACAGGGACAACATTGTTCTCTCTATTTTTATCCATCATCAGTTCATAAATATTGTTCTTCCTTCTTTTCTTGTTTTCTTGGTCCGGGTTCTATCACCTACCTGGATATGACCAGGTGAGCAGAACAGAGGAAGCTTGCAAGCAGTCAGAGTGTTAGGACAAAAAACACTGCCAATTTAGTGTTTTTATTGGTGTTCACATCAAATGAGAAAGAAGGGTTTCCAACCCTATACAGGTCTTCACTCCTCAAATGAAGTAAAAAAGAAGAAATGAAAGCACATGGGTTGAAAAAGTCAAGAAATGGGCAAAGATGGGTTTTCATCCTTGTACAGCATAATGGCTGCAATTGTCCATAAAAATTGGAAGCAAATATGGGATGCAACACAAATACATGGGTGACTAATTTCTAGTAATTGAGCTAGTGGCTACCTGCATTGATGCAATGCAACTATATTGCACAATTGACTATCCTGTGTGCAATCAAATCAAGTTGATGTCCTAACCTAACAATTATCATGGTTTTGGAAATGTCAAAATGATGCAAATTCAATGTAAAAAGCAAACTAAAAGAATGAGTATATTACATTTCCCTTGATAGATGTGTAAATTATCCTTTGTCCCCTCTTATTATAAAATATACACTCCTATTCTCTAAGAGATGAATATATGGTACACTTTAGCTGATTTTAATGTAAATGAGTTGTTTAGAATTTTCCCAAATTGTAATTATTGATATTTATTATCAATTTTGTGACTTCAAAAGGTGAAATAAGATTTTAGATAAAATTCCAAAATTTGATAATATAGATGTTAAAAACTTCATTCCTCCCTATTAAATACTAAAATCAATATAGAAGTGGTTACAAGGTCGGGGTATAAATGGCTAAAGAGAGGTGGAATGGCCGGTATAGATTCGTGGAAGTGGTTGTGGAAATTGCCATTAGTTGAGAACATAATGTTCTTTCTTTGGCAAGTGGGGAAGAAGGATCTCCATACTCGACATTTCCCTATGCAATGGCATGTTTCCCACATTGGGGTCTATCTGAGGTCTGGCACAAGCATGGAGACTATGGCCCATGTATTCTTCCACTGTGGCAACACTCGCCAAGTCTAGCACCTTCCAAATGTTGAGGGAGTTCAACCTCCAGATGATGGTTGTGGGAGTGCTTTCGGAAGTACCATATTTTACCATTCATTGTGTGTTGGATCCTGGGGAAGGTACACAATGAGCACCTATTCAACTTAAAGGAGTGTAGCCAACGGGGAATCAATAATCAAACGGCAAGTGCATGATCTACATGGTGCCATGTAGGGAGCATATGCTGGACATTGCATGTTTCGCATGATTCAGCGATGGGAACTTTGGGTGTAGTGCATTCACACAGTTGGTATTGGAGGCCTGTGGGGGATTCAGGAGGTAAGTGGATGTGGGGTTTGTTGGTGATATCAAAGAAGTTGATAACTTAAAAGTCGAACTACTAGCACTATTGTGTGGACTTCAACTTGCTAGGAGGACGAGGTACCAATTCGTTTAATGCATATCAGACTCCACACATGCCTTGGCTTTGATCTGGCAACACATGGGGTTGTGCCACAGGTATGTGTCTATTATACACAACATTAAGGAGCTTATGGCTAAACCGTGGAATCTCCAGATGGTACATAAACTAAGAGAAGATAATTGCTACACAGACTTTTTGACAAAATTAGACCCAAACTCTAGTATTGCAATGGTAGAGATAGATGTCCCCTAGTTGAGTTAAAGCATCAGCTCATAGCTAATGCAAGTGGGGCACCTTTTCTTTCTTTGTTATCTTTTACATTACCCAAAAACAAAGTCAACATAGAACGTTCAAAACTAGTTGTCAATGACATTGAAAGTTGTAGAAAAAGAAAAATATCATTCACAAGCACATTCATAGTTATTCACTTCTGTTAAAAAGCTTGTTTACTTTAAAATGGATTAAAGTATAACACAATCATCTCTCATGAGACAAGAGTGTATATTTTAAAATAAGAGGAGAAAGAAATGTAATTTAAGTATCTTTCAAGGGAGGTAAGTACAATTCACTCAAGAATATTTGACATTGAATAAGAACCAAGTGATGCACTAAACAAAAGAACCTCAGGTTCTTTACTAGGCAGAAATGAGGTAGCATTTCTTCAGAAAAATGTTCATATATAAATTACGGTTCATTTACAATGAACCCTTGATTGAATTCAATCCCAATAATGATACCATATTCCTTTTGTAACAAAATTCAAAATATAATCACCCAATAATGCTGGCCATATCAATTCAGGAGGGCTGGGACAATAGAAAAACAACAATAAAAAAATAGAATAATCATGATGAACAATAGAAAACAACAATAAAAAAAAATTAAAAAAAAAAAATAGAGAACCCCTTTCCTAAGGAAGAACCAGCTTCTTCACTCAGCCTATCCAATATCGATACCAACCAATTTCCTCTTACCCTCTATTTAGTTACCACACCCATTATATAATCATTTTCTCCCACCCTTTATAATTCTTGTATCCCCTCACTCCCGCTAACTCTCCTTGTGCCCTATGTTCCCAAGCCTACATCCTTGGCCCCATTTTCCATTCCATACACTCTCTTTCTTTTCCTACTATAAACCTCACCAATGGGCCTATCAATTGCAGTGTGGAAATCGTAGGGAACGGTAGTTTTTCTTTTATATATACAGGCGTAAAAGTGGGCAGTTTTTGATTAGTTGTAGTTGTAAGGGCAGCTTCGGAGCAGTTTTGAAAAGTGAAATTTATAAAAAGTAGAAAAAAAGAAAGAATAAAAACAAAAAAAAAAAAATGGAGAGAGAGCGGTTAAAGAGGTAATCCCCTTTATTATTAGTGTGTGTGTATATTATATTGCACTAGGAAACTGCAAGACCAGGTAGATTGCACTGGGAAAGTCATGGGACTAGGATTTTATTTTTATAATTATTATTTGGATAGTTGAGCATACCTAATATTGGATATGTGATTGACTCTAGTACCATATAGAATTTGGGTTAACCCTAACTCAACCCAAAAAGCTAGTTCACGAGATGAGGATTGCCCAAGCCTTTATAAGCTCTTCTTTAGCCATATATATAATCAAATAAGAATCTAACCAAAAGGTAATTTTGTCTCACATAATGGAGCACTAAGATGCATAAATGGATTTGCATCACTCTAGTTAACCTGAAAAGGAAGAAGACTTCACACAAGCATATATTCTTAATAGTTGATTGTCTTCTTAGATCAACATGCCAAAAAATAAGATAATCATATCAGAATCCAATTGAGGAAACCTAATAAAGATCATTTTCTCTCTCATCCTAATCCTAGGTCGAATGTGGCAGACTAGCTGTAGAATTATAATGTATACTTTTTCTAAAAGTATACATGAAAATAATTTTTTGTTTCTAAATGTTGCTTTTTTTAAGTTGCAGCAATTACATTAAATACATTTACGGAGTCATCAGGAATCATCAGTTGTGAATATGAAGTGCATAACACTAACAAAGAAGAACGTTATAGATTCACCTTTTCTGTTGTCTAAGCACAAGCCCAGACTCTAATATAGACACAGGACACAACACAAACATGGACACTCCACACAGCTAAGGTTCAAATGTCCATCCATAAGAAGATGTTGTTTGACTCTGTTCAAATTCCATCCAAACAATATGGAGGTGTTGGCTAAAGTGTATGAGCTGAAACAAAATATTTTTGTTTTAAAATTGGATAGCTAATGAGGAGTGTCTGATTCTGACACATGTTAAGGAGATGTTGGTGTCGATAAAATATCAGACACTCCACACATAAAGCAGGAAAAAGTTCAGAAATTAAATTTACAGATCATAAAAAATTCATATATCACTTGTGCAAATAGTTTACCAGAATTCATAGGACTCCATCGCTGAAAACGGAAAGGAGATGGTATATTAATACCAGATGCACTTGACCCGCCGTTATGCCTGAAAAATGGAAGATACTGCCTCCGGAAAAATCTCGGCATCCAATTGACAACCCAGGATAAAGCACAAAGCAGAAGAATGAAAGAAAGTATCAAAATGGGAATAAGAATAATGGGATTTATCTTCATCTGAAGCAAGTCAAAACCTCGAAGCCCGAATCTTACAGCATACGACTTGCCAGCTTCCAACAAGGCCACCCCAAGCGTCCAAGTGATACTTCCAGAGCCAACAGTTATATGCTTATCAGTAATATGCAAACCCTCCCTCAGCAAGGAGACAATGTACGGCGCCCGAAAGCAGTACTGCTCAATAAACGGCTGAGGGGCAACACTCTTCCTGGCAACACTCCATCTCTTCTCACAAAACTCCCTCCCCTTCTCCAACACATCCTCAAGTGTGGCCTCCGCAGTCAGGTTGAAGAACCTATACACCACAAAAAACCCAGAAATGATATAAAAATGCCCCGTGGGCCGGGGCAAATTATCGCGAAGTGCACACGGGTGCACTTCGCAGTCCAGTCCCGGCCTCACATCCGACCACTCAGACAAATTCACCGTCACCTTCGCAAGCGCGCTGCACTTCTCCCAATCCGGGGCGCCAACAAGCGCCACGGCGGTCCTCCACTCCCCCTTCTTCCCCAGCACACTCCCCTCCACTCTAGGACTCTCCCCTCCCCTGTCGAGGGGCGAGCAAAAGGAGCAGGCGTAGCGCTGGGTGTAGCCAGCCTGCAAGCAGGGATGCTTGACCAAGACGACATTCCCAGTGACGACATTCCTAGAGTCCTTAAAAAGACGCGCAACAGACTTATCAAAGGCCTCATTGAGGCCATAGCCAGCAAGCGAATAAGCAGTTAAATGATGGTTGACAGAGCCAATCCTAACGTACAAGCTAGTCTCGCTATTCAAGTGTTGCTTACCAGCACCCTCGAAGGTTACCTGAAGGGAAGAGCCTCCGAGATCAAGAGCACCAAAGGTGGGCTTCCTGGGCTTGACGCCGAGGGTACCGCTGTGGTAGTTCAACGCAATCCATCCGAAATAAGCCTCCTCGGTGCCGGAGATGATCTTGACCCAATCCCGGCGGCAAACGAAGGGGGAGGCGCGGAGGAAGGCCCAGGCGGCGTCGAGGAGCCACTTGGAGTCGTCGAAGGGGAGTCTGCGGAGGCCGGCGGTGGCGTAGAGGAAGAGGGAGGTGGTGGAATGAGAGGGTTGTGGAATCTGCTTCTGGGCCCAGTGGAGAAGAGGCTTGAGGGCGGCTTTCAAAGCGGTGACGTTGTGGAGGAGCTTGTCGAGGCCGGGCTCGGTCTCCATGCGGTCGTAGGCGCGGGCGCTGGCGGGGTTGGGGCGGAGGCCGTCTTTGAGGGAGTGGATGGCGATGGGGAGGTTGGTGTTGGGGCGGTGGTGGATTTGGGCCTTGTAGACGTACACGCGGGTGCCGGTGCTGCCGCAGTCCAGAACGACGTAGTATTTGGCGGAGGCGTGGGAGCGGGAGTAGAGGGTGTAGAGGAGGGGGAGCAGGAGGAGAAGCAGGAGGGAGAGGAGGAGGATCAGGAGGAGGCATCTCCGGCGCGGCGGGGGTTTGGTTTTGGAGAAAGAGGCGGCGGCGAGGGTGGTCGGATCGATGTGGTGGTGGCGGTAGGAGGAGAGATCCTGGAGGGAGGAGGAGACACGGAGGTTGGTGTTGGTGTTGGTGGCTGGGTGTTGGTGTTGGTGTTGTTTGCCAAAGACCATGTCTCTTGGAGGGGGGATCTGCTGCGGGAGAGGCTATGGGCGCATGGTGGTGCTGCGAGATCCCGGTGAGAGTGTCAGTAATGCGGAAACCGAATATTCATACGCAGATCTCTCAACAGAGCTGCGTCGTTGCTCCCCAAGGACACCGCTTTATGACTTCTCTTTCTTTCTTTCTTTTTTTACATTTTTCTCTTCTCTTCTCTTCTCTTGTTGGGCCCCTCTAAGGCCCGTTTCTATTCTTTCATTTCCTTTTTATGAACTCAAAAATAATTTTCTTTCTTTAATCACCTTGATTTTAATTTTAATTTTAATTTCTACTCTATGTTACTTATCATTGTAAATCAACTACAATTTTTCTTTTGTAACGACAAATAGTTATCTTTTCATCTTAAAATTTATTTGAATATAAGTTAATTTTTTTTTAGAGTTTCTCTATTAAAAATAAAGAATATTTTTAATTTTAATATTCTTTATTTTTAATAAATAGTCATTCAACCAACCTTGCGCCTGGCGTGTTTGGACAATGGAGTTCCCTGATGAACACACGCCCTACGCCAAGAATTACGCCTGGCGCGAATTCAAACAATAACCCTCACAACTTCAAAATTTCAAACAAAAACACATGCAATCCATGAAATGAATTACATTTGCATCATATGACTCAAAAACTTCTCTATTTCAACATGCAACCATCAAACGCATCAAAATCACCATTTTCCCAATTTTCCCGAAACCCCGAAAATGAGAATTTCTTTAAAATCAACCAACGATTCTCAATGTTCTCACTCCCAATGAGTTCCAGAATTCCTATACAACAAACAAGTTTACAATCTAACTTCCCTTACCTTGGAAAAGAAGAATCCAAGCTCCGGGGAAGAGAAAGAAAAGAAGAAGAAGGAAAAGGTCCATGCTTCCAACTAGCTACCCATAATTCTACACAGCACCTTCAATACCACAAGGAGACTCAGAAAGTTCAAATGAGAGAATAAGGAATGAGGAGAAAATAAGAGTGTTGAGGGGAAGGAGGAAGAAGAAGCGGGTCTTACATTGAGAAATCTCTTGCGTTAACAAAAACTAAAAAGTTTAGACCAAACCTATTGTGTGAAATTGCAATGAAGGAGAACCTGCCATGTATCTTCATTATCATGATTACAGACTAGACACTTGGCTTCCAAAGCAATACCCCTATGGAATTTGTTGGAATTTGTCATTAGAGGCTCTAGTTCTTTCAAGCCCCTTCCATCTTCAAATCACCTTAAATATAGGCTTACGATTTAGGCTTGAAACATGAGATGAAACCTTGAATGCATAACGAATTGAAAACACCCCATCTACAGCTGGACCCTAGAGGACAAAATCTATTCCTGTTGAATCTAATGGGATAGCCGAACTAATAATAGATTGTGACACCCTCTACCCCACATTCATAATTACACAATAAATAGGACTAATTAAAATCTTTCATAAATAAAACCAGAATCTCAAATATCTTACGTAGAGGATTTACATTCATAAACTCATAAACAATATCTCTAATGCGAAAATTACAAAGGAAGGAAATTGAGTTTTTCAAAACAATTCAATGGAAACAACACCTTAAACTAGTTCTAACTACATCCCGATGTCACATATCCTATCAAAGCTCGTCCAACTGAAGCCTAAGCTTCATCACCAACATCCTCATGTTGATGGCCATCTGCAACACAGTAGAAGACACACATAGAACAAATAAGGGAGTGAGCAACATCTCACTCAAGTTAAGGTGTAAAAATAATAGTTAGGCAACACACACATAAATCATAACAAAGCACAACACAAAACACACATTAATCAAGCATAACTCAAGTCATACATACATTAGTAACACATACACAGTCACTCATTATGCAATGATGTCATGGACTCAACTACAAATACATGCATGTGGCACCAGTCACATATCACTGGTGTGTTGCCTAAACAACACACCTAAGTTAGTCTAGGAGTACATGTAGGTAGTTACCCATACACTCTCAACTAGAAGGATATACTGTTAGGGTCTGGTCGAGATAGCGAAGCTACACAAATTACGTCTCGTGCTCACAAACGGGTGGAATCAAGACATCCAAATCGCAATATATCCTAGAACTCCCCCAAGCTGTTACACAAGGAGGGCCTTCCCTAACAGTGTACTCCACATCGTACCCGTCACATAGATGCACATGATGCATGTTACACATTCACACGTCATTGACTCATCATTTCACTTGTCATAGTTTCTCATATATCATGTCTGATTGTCACATATTATCATGTCTCATGTCCCATATTCACTTTTCACATTGTCTCATCATATTCGCATAGTCTTATACAAGAAACTTCTCATAGACATATACATCAGAATAGCACACAAACCATAATAGGAAATTATCCAACATCATACACATTTAATTTGCAATTCATAACATACGAAGCATAAAGGTCATAAACCCAACTTCATAATTTCATGCCATTTTTTTACAACTAGCTAGGTAATATAATATTTCAATAGGTCAAAACACTCCACATATTACCCAAAACACGAATCCATCATCAATTTTATATATAGTGCCTCAAAATTCATCCAAAAATCATATCCCTAATTTCACTTCATAGGGTTTCCCACAAGAACCCATAGAACACTTTAATTCATATGAAAAATTTTCTATTTTTGAAATTAAACACATATTTACACTCAGTAAACATCAAGGAACACAACAAAAAACTCAGAAGCCAAAATAGAAAATATTCGAAATTTGTTTGTTTCTCATAGGGTTTCCCATAGGAACCCATAGAGTACTCTAATCCATATCAAAACATATCCAAACTGAAAATTAAACATACATTCATGCTCAGTAATCATCAGAGAACACAACAGAAAACTCAAAAGCCAAAACATAAAACATTCAAAATTTACCTATTTCTCATAGGGTTTTTTGCATGAACCCATAGAGCACTCTAATCCATATCAAAACTTATCTATTCTCGAAATCGAACACATATTCACACTTAGAATCACATAAGGAATGGAATAGAACAATCAAAAAGAAAAATAGAAAACTTTTATAAAGTCCCGTTCCTATACGCATATATCGGGCAAGGGATTGGAGGCCAATTCGACTACCTAACAATTATTCTCACACTCCCAAGTGAGGTTTTTCACCCCCTCCTTACCTGGATGAGCAGAAGATGAAGCGCGTACAGTTTCCTAGTGATCTTCTCCTCCTAGTTCTCTTGAGTTTTCAAAGAGCATAGAAGGAATGAGAAATGAGTAAGAAACGTGAAATAAAAACTCCTGACAACTCCCTTAACTTCTGATAACTTCTTTCTCTTAAAAAAAATAAAATAAATAATAGTAATAATAATAATTTACAAAAAATCATTACGTCCTTCCTTCCCATCTCATAAAAAAATTAAAAATAAAAAAAAAACATTTTCTCTTTTTAATACAAAACAACATATGCTTAACTTTAAATAAAATACATTTTCATAAAAATATGTTTTATATTAAATAACCAAAATACTAGTTAAAAATCATGCTTTATATTAAGATAGAACTCATATAAAATAGATAAATAATATAAAATATACTTCTCCCTTTTTTAAAAGAAAAATATATGTTTTATATAAAAAAAAATAAAGCTCATATCAAATAACTAAATAATATTAAAAATCCTTCTAAGAAACAAATTAAAACATTAAAATAAATACTACCACATTATTAATATAATTTTATGAAAATCGGGGTGTTACATAGATTGCCACACAATTGGTGGCACTAGCTTGTGAATATAGTCAGTCTCCTATTCACCTTGGTCTGAGACATGATCACAAACACATTTAGACATCTTGATCGGGGAAATGAACACTAAGGCATGATTGATAATTCCACCCAACCAGGAAACCAATTATCAAGCTAGAACCGCACCTTCCTGCCATCACCAACCTTCCACATGATATTAGGCCTAATCCAATCCCAAGCAACACATGCATTGCCAAAAGTTTGACATGAATGGTTTCTTTGTGACAATAGGGATAATTTTGGTTGTACATCCATATTTAGCTTCTACAACCCGTACCCATAATTTGTTAGGCTCATTAATCAAACTCCAACAATTTTTCTTCATAAAAGCTTTGTTCATTTCCCTCATTCTTCTCAAGCCTAGTCCATCATTAGCTTTAGGGAAGCAAATAGTTTTCCAATTAATTGCATGAGGGTGTCGAGCTCCATTTCTATCCCTCAAGAGGAAACTTCTATAGATCTTTTCCACCTCATAACACAAGGCTCTAGGTAAGTGCACCACATTGTGTAAGATGGAAGTGCTTGAAGAACAGACTTGGTTAGAGTCAGTCTTCTCGCAAAGGAAAGGTTTTTTTCTTTCCACCCACTAAGCCTGATATTTATTTTATCAATTATAGCTTGATAAGTGGCCTTGTTCACCTGAGAATGATGAGATGGGATTCCAAGAATCATTCGTTCGTTGAAATCTGAAAGTTGAGCTTATCTCGTCCCTCATAGCATGACCCACATTATTAGAACAGAAAATCCTAGTTTTCTCCTAGTTGACCTTTTTCCCTGTACTTTCATAGAAGGTATATAGACAAGCTTTTATAACTTCCACTTAGTTTATGGAAGCTTCTGCAAAGAGAACAAGATCATCTGCAAACGCTAGGTGAGAAATCAACGGGCCTGATCTAGATAGTTGAATAGACTTCCAAATGTGATGTTCAATAGCCATGTTAATTAGTTGGAATAACCTCTCCATACAAAGCACAAAAAAGTAGGGAGAAATGAGATCTCCTTGTCTTATAATTGTTTAGTACATCTCAATTCAAAAAATAAAATTTTATAACTTTTTTCACACATGAAAAAAATAAGATAAAAAATAATCACTACTATAATTTATCTTATTACATGTGACTTTTCATGCAAAATTTATATACAAATTCGTAGCAAACATTATTCCTACGAATTTTTCTGCGAAATTTTATCTTCAGGTAATACATTCGTGGATAATATATTTTTGTGAATTTTAAAATTCCCAAGAAATTTTCCTGCAAAATTTCTTGCGAAAAAATTCGCAGGAAACTTCCTTGCGAAAAAAATTTGCAGAAAATTTTCCTACGAAAAAAATTTGTAGGAAAGTTTCCTG